TGCTGACCAAGTGTTGTTACTTTGTAGCCAATCAATCATCCAAGATGGCTGCCAGCGGGTAACTTAGTTTAACTAAGGACCCTATGGGAAATATATGCAAATGTCTTCTTCTAGAAAACATCTTAATGGATTGAAACCAAACATGGTATGCATGTTTCTTTTGATGTGCTGACCAAGTGTTGTTACTTTGTAGCAGATGGCTGCCAGCAGGGGAAGTAAGTTTAACATAGGACCCTATGGGAAATACATACAAATGTTTTCTTCTAGAGAACCACTGAAAAGAATGCAACCAAACATGGCATGAATGTTCCTAATGAGGTGCTGATCAAGTGTTGTTACTTTGTAGCCGAAACATCATCCAAAATGGCTGCCAGCAGGGGACTTAGTTTAACATAAGATCCTATGGGAAATACATACAAATGCTTCTTTTAGAGGAGCACTGAATGGAATGAAACCAAATATGGCATAAATGTTCTTGTGAGGTGCTGATGAAGTGTTGCTACTTTGTTGCCGATTTACTGTTCAAGATGGCCACTAGGTTTTTTTTTATTAAATTACGGGGCCAATATTAAACCAAATTTGGCCTCAATCATTATTAGGGTATCTGTGTTATGATTTTAATCTATTTTTACATGATTTCCAAAACCAAAGTAGAATCAGGTGAGCGACACAGGCTCTTGAGGGCCTCTAGTTAATTTATGTTGATTATTGTCATTGAGGGATGAGATCTCACAAAACATGTATAGTTTGTTCTTATGTTGTGCTGTTACACCACTCTCCCAGGTTAGGGGAGTGTTGAACACTCACAAACATGTTTAACCCCGCCACATTCTTTATGTGTCTATCCACAGTCAGGAGCCTGTTACAGTAGTTCAGTGATTGTCGTTGGTTCATGTCTGTCATATTTGTTTTTCGTTAATTGTTTTGTTATAAATTAGGCCGATAGTTTTCTCAATTGAAATGTTTCATATTTTTCATGTCGGGGCCTTTTATAGCCAACTATACGGTATTGGGTTTTCTCACTGTTGAACCATACGGTTGCCTATAATTGCTTACATCCACTTTATTTGAACTTTGGTGGATAGTTGTCTCATTGGCAATCATACCTCATCTCCTAATTTTTATATTAACCACGGCGCATTTTTTGCGCCTGTCCAAAGTCAGGAACCTCTGGCCTTTGTTAGTCTTGTATACTTTTTTTTTTATTATTTTGGTTAATTTATATGTTTCGAAGTTTTGTGTGACGTCCATTTTCGCTGAACTAGTATACATTATTGTAAGCTTGTATGTTTTTTTTTTATTATTTTGGTTAATTTATATGTTTCGAAGTTTTGTGTGACGTCCATTTTCGCTGAACTAGTATACATTACTGTAAACTGAAGCCCGCCTCAGGGTGCGGGATTTTCTCGCTGTGTTGGTGGCCTTGGGCTGTTTTCTGATCTTTGGTCGGGTTGTTGTCTCTTTGACGCATTCCTCGTTTCCATTCTCAATTTTATTTCCTTGTGTAGAAAATGGTGGATTAAACCTGGTTTTATAGCTAGTTAAACCTCTCACTTGTATGACAGTCGCATATAATTCCATTATATTGACAACAGTGTGTGAGCAAAACAAACAGACATAATAGGTAAAAATGTCAAAAATTGGGGTACAGCAGTCAACGGTGTGTTATATTAACAAAAATATATTAAAAAATCTTGATCACTATAAAAACAAATAACTATTTCAACAATGGAAAGCAAAGTGGCATATAGACACTCTATAGACAAAGTACATAAGCAAAAATGAAAGACGAGAATACAAAAATGACCATAGTACAATAACAAAATTGCGGGATGTATAAATACCGAGTCACGCCAAAAGTATTTTATCAAAGATGGACTAAAAAGAACAAGTAGAGGTATAACGCGTATATAATTAAGATGAAAAACAACATCAGTACATAGCATCTATACTTCTAGACCATCATGTATTATTTTTGAAGTTGATACGGAATATTTATCAACAAGGTCTTGGTATCTATCGAAGAACTTTTTTAAGAAAAGGACGAGGCGTTCTTTGACATCACCCTGGTTCATCAACTTTCTGCTCAGACAATAGTGACGTTTTATAAAGTCTGAGTAGCAGCTGCAAGCTCTTGCAAAACGAATGAGCTTGAAAATGCATATCCCATATGCAGGGGAAGTTGGTATATTGCTGCTAAGGTGGGGGGATTTATAATTTCAAAATTAAAATCGTCTCGTTTGTCATAGATTCTGTTACTGAGACGACCGCTTATGATAATTTCGAGGTAAAGTCTAAAAAAGAGGCCGAGAAGCCGTGTCTGTTGTTTATTTAATTTCTTGTTCTGGAGGATATATTAATGGAACCCAATCAGAAAAAAATTGGATTGTTTACGGAAATAACAAGTCATCATCAATATATCTGAATGTGAAGTTAAAGGATCTGGCTTCCTTGATCTTCTTGTTTTTGATAAGTGTCCGAAGGGATTCCGACTCGAATGAAAATAAGGAGAGGTTGACAAGGAAAGGCACACAGTTCGTTCCCATAGAAATGCCGACAATTTGTTGAAAAAGTCTACATCTAATGGACAATTCCTTTGTAGAACATGCAGATGAACCGGCAATGTACCGTTGTTTGTACGGAATTTTGTGAAGTTTAGGTATCCAATACAAACACGGTAAGTCCTCAGATTTGCTGTACAATGTAATGTTCATTGAAGCCACGAAGGACTTACCGATTAGCCAAAATCTTATCCTTGTCAAATGATAAGGTTTTGTATGTGGGATTACCTGAGTGCTCATTCATTCCTAATTCTTTTACAAGACACTCGTAGTAGTACGATTTACATACAAAACAATATTATTTAAAGCTTTGTCCGCAGGAACAACATATTTATCGTGAAGAGATGATAGACATTTCACAGCTTCTTTGTCTCTAAAAACGGACTTTGGACGATCATTCACACAGTTTTTCAACTTATGAATTCGACGTTTAATTTGAGACCTGATTGTTTTGACCCATTCTGATAAAGTGTCTAGTTCAACTTCTTCTCGTTTAGCCCATGCTCTGGTGTAGTCATCAATGATATCCATAATTATTTTGAAGTTAGGTTTCCAATTGATGTGCTGAGGTTTTCTGAACTTAGGACAATGATATATCACCTTTCGGAGATGTCCATGTTGAATTATGTTTAGATCCCCAGTAATAACATGGTCAGAGGGGCTGAATATATAAGGCGAGAGGGAACAGTCACATGTCAGAGGGTTTTTTAGGTATTCTTCTAAATTAAGGTCCTGCAATGCTTGCTTATAGTTAAATACTTTAGGTGCAATGGTTTTGGTGTAACTGTAGGATACAATAGGAACAGACTGATTTGAAATATAAAGTGCAATTTTAGATTCTACCTCTTTTTGATGAAGACCGTTGCTGATGTTGATAGCATCAATTCCTTTATTGGAAAAATTGTTCTTCCTGGATGAAAGTGGGAAATTGGATAACTGAAAGAAAAGGTCAGTTGGATTCGGGCCGAAATTTTACCTTTTTTAAAACAAACAACTTACATACCATAAATGTAAAGAGCATGACACTTTCCCTACATAAGGCATCGGTAAATGATTATAGTACACATTTTTGATCGGATATGGTAGGCCATTTATATATCTAGCACAGCCAATCGGGTGTCCCTTGAGAGGCCACTTGAAGGGTGAGAGTCAGACCACTCAGTCAAAGAAACTGGGTCCAATTCTATACACCGCAAGTAGCCTTGTGTTTGCATAATGAAAAATATCTTAGATCACTAAATCAGCTGATATTGATCAACTTCTTTAAATTTACATAGTTTCCCCAACTATGTTTTGAATGTTTTAGCAATCGAAAAATCAACCAATAAAATTTACATTCCAATATCTACCGCTGTGTTTCCGAGTTAAATTATATACAGCAATATGTCATAAAGATTGCTCAAGGTATGCTTGTTTACAAAATTCCAATACTGTAGTTGTACTAAATTGCAAATTTCCTTTCAGTCCGAAGTTCCATTTTTTAGTAGAAATTTACACCACGCTTGATCAAGTGATTCATAGCAGATAATAAATGTAAAGCTTCTCCATTAAAAGGGGGTCTCATTGGTGTGTTCTGATCCCGGGTCCCGCTTATTGTTTTGTCAGAACCCCGTATCCCGCTTATCATTGTAATAGCGCTTGTAATGTCACGTGTCCGTTTCCCGTTTTCACGCAAAATAATTTGACGTTTCACGTGTCACGCTTACAAAAAATCGGCCAATCCCGCATCAAGCTTATTCCCCAATGAGACCCACTTAAAATATCAAAATACGAACGACTCAAAATTTAAAGAGATTTGTGCGTTAAACTCACAAATTAAATATGAAAAATATGCTGAAGCTGATTCTACGTATTTGCCCACATTATCTAATTGACCTGGGGCCTCACTGGCCGAATGGTCTAAGTTGTCCAACTACTGTATCATTAGCCAGTCAACACTGAGGTTGGGAGTTCGAATCCCGCACTGGCCAGGTGCACTCGACTCCCAATCTTAATTGACTAGGATTGTTAGTTTTCCCACCGAAGGGTGGTGGTTCTCTTCGGGCACTCCGGCTTCCTCCACCAATAAAAACTGACCGCCACGAAATATCACAATAGTGTGGAAAGTGGCGTTAAACACCAATCAATCATTCAATCAATCTAATTGAACTACTGGCCCTTCCGGAACACCTGAGTTCAATCTGGTTTGCGTTGAGATCGTCATGCGCAATCAATAATTTTCTGTGTAGTGTTTTGTGGTCTGTTGTTTTTCTGTTTTGACATGGATGTTGTCTGTATTTCTTCTACTGATGGTTCTGATTTGTATCTTCTCCTTTTTAGTATGAATAGTTAGTGTCTTTATTCACATAGAGACCCTGTATGAAAAATGTAACATTTCGGTACAATTTCTTTTTTTCAAAATCTTGAACTTCATATTTGTGATAGTTAGAATTAATAAGATTCCCGAATTAAATTATCTATTTAGATTCATTAAACAATAAGATAAACATATTGATTTAGTTGATAGCAGTACATTATCCAAGAATACATCCAAAGCCTGAACAGGAATGATCTAAAGTTATTTCAACATGGTAACATCCTAACTGCTCTCCTGTATCTTTATTTACAAGTTTTGCATCAACTTTGTAGTCTCCCTGTGGAAATAATAAAATTAAAAAGGAATGGTAAATATATTAATCTTATTTACAAGAAGAATCAAATATGTACACTGATATCTTCCAATGAGGACGTAACCAATCTATATTTACAATGCCATTTATTTTTAGCGAATTTCGTCATATATGTTAATTTGTTAACTAGTGTGTGTCAACAACCATACTTGAATGCAAAGTTTGATCTAATATAGTATATATTATTGGTCAAATCTCATTTCATTATTTTGCAATCTTTCATTTCACAGTTACATATAATTATATAAATAATTTAAATATGCTGTTGTCGGACATTGCACTGCAACCAAACTACAAACCCACCGCATTTGCCTTTTTAAAAATCAATATTCTAAATTATCGACAGCAAAATGTCATAAAAAGAAGAAGCAAATTCAAAAGGAACTGTTACACTTAAAATTCAAAAGTCTTTAAGTCTGCAAATACTATATTGATAAATGAGACTGCGCAACACAAACCCCAAAAATCAGTGGTTCTAAAGGGTAAGCAGACCCTGCTTTACATTGGGCACCCGTTGTGTTGCTCATAATGATAAGTCTTATTCGGAGAGATCACAATCAAGGGAAATAGGACTTTATAACGCATTTAGAGCATGTCAATGATTATCTGTGGCGTATGTAGATTTTCACTAAAAGTCAACCAAATCATGATAGTTTCCGTACAACTTTTGATGAGGACGACTTTAACAGTACCACTAGAAGCTTTTTATTGAACATGTTGAGGAAAAAAAAATCAAAGGAAAAAATAAATATTTCAATTGATAATAAACTTTAACTCGTTCCGAACAACATTCATAACATGGTAAAGAAAAGGGCTTCAATAGATATGTCAGAATATAACAGGTCGTGAGAGTGAATTACATGTACATGATAGCAAATATTAATAGCATTAATTTTAAACTCACCGATATCAGATCGGAAACTATGCTTGATATTTTTGGAATTTGTATTACGACTGGTTTAAGCGTGTATGTTCCAGCTTGTATTGGGCATGTGCAGGAGAATTTCTGTGCTGTCAGATCAGGAGGACATGATGCTTTCCCGTTGCTAACGAAATTTGAAGCCAACAAGCTGCAGAAATCATACGTGCTACAAGTAAACACCATGATACGGTATTAGTATTTAATATTCATAATCATGTGTTTTGTTTTGGGGTCCTTCAATTCTGTATTCTTTAATTTTTTCAGCCATTTATAAATTGTATATTCTTTTTATTTTATTACCCCCATTATTTTCTATTCTTTTGTTTTTGTTTGTTTATTTTTGTCTAGTCTGTTTTTAGCCATGTATTCTGTACTTTTTGCTCATTATTCTCTATTCTGTAAACCCCATCCAGACCCTCATATTGTTTATATATATATATATATACATATACAACTCGTCTAAACATCAGCCCAACAATGTTAGATCTGTAAATTTGCTTTCGCAAATTTTTTGTTCTTCCCTCGCCTGGATTCGAACTCATGCTACTGAGATATCGTGACACCTAATCGCCTGCACTGTATCCGACGCGCTAGACCACACGATCACCTAGGCTTCACATAATAAAGCTTTCGGTGGCCGGGTGTTACCTTTCCTCGTCAGTTTTAATCTAGCGTTGTAATACAGTACATGATATATAAGGCATGACGATGGAATTGTTACAGATCAGCTGAAATATCTATTGTAAAGGATCCTACAAATTAATGCAAGATACAGTCACAGAAATAATTATATTTATATATATATATATTAGTGGATTCTATAGACGTCCTACCAATAGTTGGTACAGAAATGTGTTTTCACGTTAGACATGTCCTAAATTGATTTATCAATATTTTCAAAATGAAACAATTGCTTAACAGATTTATAAACTTCTAGTTTTATACAAACTTAAAACCAATCAAATATTTTCTGTAACAAAACAATTATACCAAAATTATATATACAACCTACCAACTTCCAACGTTAAATACACAAGGGACACGGATCCAGAGAAAAAGTTCCTTCTTATGAATGCTGACGTCAAGTTGAATGTTACCGGATATATTTTTGCCAAGTTCAAGTTGACCGGAAACTGTCAGGTTACCAGGTACTTTTGGCGGGTATGGGCTCAAGCTCGCAGAACTGACATGCAGCACGTGCTGGTTCTTGTCTGATAAAACAAAACGTGGTTATCAGCAATGTGGTGTGAAGATAGTTTACGTATGATATTTATTCATTTTTTAATTATTCATCTTTGTTTATATATATGTATATATATATATGGTGTTTCCGTCATCTGTTTTAAACTTAAAGTGCAATTGTAATTTTTTTTGAGATGAAAAATCACCAAAAGTGGACGCTCGATAATTTGATTTTAAACAATGAAAAATCTCTTTTGTTTATAGACATTCAAAAAGAAAGTTACTAAAACTGGCTGCAAACTTGAGTCAGGTTTCTTACTTCAGTTATAAATCTAGGTGGAATTTTGTATAATTTATAGTGATATATGATTTTACGTTCCACCCATATTGTTCTTATTCTGAAGTATGTCGTTTGTTTTTCGTTCATTATTTTTTGGTAGAAATCAGGCCGTTGATTTTATTTGTTTTTTTAATGTTTTTCACATTTTGTCATACCAGACATTTTCATCCTTTGGTCTGGTCACTGGTGAATAGTTGTCTCTTTAGCAATCAAACCACATCATTCTCCCTATTTATATATCTATACAACTATTCGGAATGTATTTAGCATTTTGTAGGGTAAAAAACAAAATTATCTCAATAAAACTTTTTGTAATGTACTGAAAACTGTTGAGTTCCGCTCAAGATTTTAAAACTTACTGCAGTCTGTGTATACTAGTTCACCAGCAAAACATTCAATGACCATCATGAACAAGATGCAACAAAGTCTCTTCATGTCCACTTTCAATCAAAATATAATCAAATACAAGGCTACCACTATATGAACAGCATCGTTTTAATTTAGTTTGGAAATTGTTTAGCGGCTCGATAAAAACTGAACCTGAAAAGTGCAAATGTTAACTGGTTAATAGTACTACTGAGGTGACTTACACAAATATGCTGTACAGTTGAAAAAAAAAATATTCTTAATTTGAATCGTTAAGAATGAAAAACTAGTTCAATCTTCAAAGCGTCTCTGTTGTACATGTACATACTATTCACCCTGAAAACATTGTTGCGTTCGTTAAAGATTGGTTGATCACCAAAATGTAAATTATTATCAATATTAGCAGAGATATGGCTTGCGTGTTGCATTGTTGTGTTACGTATTGGATTAAATTTTATGTACGCGAAGTCAATCTCATGCATTGTTTCAGGTAAGGGGAACGGTTTGATGCCAGTCTCATGCATTGTTTCAGGTTGGGGGGCGGTTTGATGCCAGTCTCATGCATTGTTTCAGGTTAGGGGGCGGTTTGATGCCAGTCTCATGCATTGTTTCAGGTTAGGGGGACGGTTTGATGCCAGTCTCATGCATTGTTTCAGGTTAGGGGGCGGTTTGATGCCAGTCTCATGCATTGTTTCAGGTTAGGGGGACGGTTTGATGCCAGTCTCATGCATTGTTTCAGGTTAGGGGGACGGTTTGATGCCAGTCTCATGCATTGTTTCAGGTTAGGGGGACGGTTTGATGCCAGCAAACAATTTTAACCTCGCACCATTCTGTATGTGCCTGTCCCAAGTCAGAAGCCTGCAACCTGTGGTTGTTTTGTGTTGCTGTTTGTTATAATTTTGTTTTCGTTTATTGTTTTGTACCTAAATGCGGTGATCTATAGTTGCTTACCACAAGCACTTGTTTCTATCCATAGGAAGGTCGACTATCCATATATATGGATAGTCGACCTTCCCATGGATAGAAACAAGTGCCTGTGTTGCTAACTTCTAAGTCATTTGATCACTGGTGGAAAGTTCTCTTATTGGCAAATACCACATCTTCTTGTTTTTTTTTGTAACGCGTGGAAGCAATCACATTTTAAATTCTCACTTCTGATACTGTTATTGACACTGTGCATAATATTCATTAATTAGGTGCAAACTCTATGTATTAGTCATGTTGTATCTGTAGGTCTCTGTAGGTTACAACGTGGATGAGTTGCATAAATACGGTGTCACAAATAATGTTTCCTCAAAGTGCTTCCTTTTTGTGTCGGTGCCATGTCTTGAAAAGGGTGTAATGGCATTGGTTAGTAACCACAGAAATCTAGTAGATATTGGGATGATTTTTATTTACAACAAAACCCTATTGTTATCTAGTGGACACATAACCGTGTAGAACGCCACATGTGGGGTGTTGGCTATGATTGATACGGAGTGCGGTTTCGAAGCAAAAAAAAAAACAAAAAAAAAACAGGTAAGTACGTTTAAATATCAAATTTTATTTTTTGAGAATTGTTATCACCAAATAATGTGTTGCATGGAAGGTATCGACCCATACTCTATTTCCAGCGAACAGAAGCAGACGTTCCTAGTGCTCTGTTTTCTCGAACACCCGTCCTCAGTTTTCCACGGGGTGAATTCGTGAGGCATGTAATGATATTATTAGTTACATAGTGTGCTAGTGACCTAATGCGATATATATGGGATCAGTAAATTCCATATAGGGTGAGAGCGAAGCTCGAATCCCCATATGGCATTTTCTGACCCCATATATATCGTATCAGGTCACTAGCACACTGTGTAACGAATTTATCTTACCGACTATCTTAACATGTGGTATTTAGACTAGTGGCCTATCAAAGTGATCAAATCTTCAATAATTAGTTTTAACAAGGACGTATACGATATGTCAATATTGCAATTTGATGTACAAATATAAATGAACACATATGGTGTTATTTTGGAGTTAGTTTGCGTGCGTTATTAACTTTCTCTCTATAGCTATATACTGAGTTTATTGCATAATGTTACCGGGTATTTTTCCCATATAGCTAAATAAATTCGTAAGAGCCCTCTAATATTTATTCTGTAAATATATATATGTACAATGATAGTTACAAATAGTATAAATATACTATTAAACAAAAGTAATCAAGAATGTTATTATCGAAAATATTAGAACCGAACCTTAAAACTAAGACTTAAACTAAGAAATAGAAAAGACAAACCATAAATAAATAGCTAATGGCGAAACCCATCCACAGGTTACAACACCTATATACAGGAATACAGGTATGAAAAGATAATACAGCTAAGAAGGGGTTTTATTACGGTAACTAGAAAGCATGCAGGTAAAAGGGTGTGTTTGATTTGCTTGATATCTCAGAGGACAGACAATGTTTTCACTCGTCAATATTGTTCATTAGCGTTTTGATTTTCTTAACATATTTAAAGTTATTATTTGGAAGAAGATCACTTGTAGATATGTACCTATCATTTTTTCAGACGAGCGTATCAAGGATTGACCTCTCGAGATAATGCTGACATAAAAATGTGAAAAGTTGCCTTCAAAGTCTATAGAATTATACAACTGACCTTTTTTAAAATCATTTTACAGTTTATATACAGTTTTATACATTGTTTCACTCCTGACTATACATGCTATTTAAATTTTCTTAAAAAAACACACACACAAAAGTTTTCATTATTGCAACCAATAAACCAACATTACTATTACAATGCCGCAAACAAATTTGGTATTAGACGATAGGCAATAAACACATTATAGTGCATGCTTTAGAGAGAAAGTTTATATATATATACATTCTTTAAATCCGACAATTTTTTCAGTTCAGATTTTAAAATCGATAGTGATTCTTTTTTTTTCGTATGGATAAATTTATTGTTTTGCTTTGTGTATAAGTGACACCTAACATCCACGCATTCCAACATTTATCTAAATCCCGAATGCAAACAAATCTTATTCGGAAGATTCCATATACATAGTGTTTAATTGTTATTATATTACAATATAATGATAAAAAAGATACTAGTATTACTAGACTTGTAATAGCCTACATCAATCCTAAACTAAATTAGTATTTCGGTGGTTTTTGTATTAAATACTCAAGATAAATGTATTACATTTATGAATGGGTTTAAGCATTGTAAGCACGCCATCCTCAGGGATTCACCTATAATATTATTTCAATTTTGTCGATGTTAATAAATCGGCTATACTTTCATGCTTTTTATTAGCTATTATATATATATATATATTGGTTTGATCGAGAATATTTCTTTGCCAACCTCATCATGTTTGAGTAGATCCCAATGTTTAGTGGTGCATAGTTTAAATTTGTGAATGCATAGATTGAATTTCGTTGCCAATACTAAATTTAAGGAATTTCCTTTGTGTATGTTTGACCCTTTTTCTGATTAAATCAGATCTATCACTTGATAATGCCTCATAGATGTACCAAAGATCAGAAAACAGCCCAAGGCCACCAATAGGTCTTCAACGCAGCGAGAAAATTCCGCACCCGGAGGCGTGATTCAGCTGGTCCCTAAACAATAATGATATTATTTTTTCTGTTCAGATTTTAATATAAGCGTGCTATGAAAATACAGGTGCTTCTACATGGAAAACGCAATTCAAACAATTAAAACAAAAGAAATATTTATTGTATAGGTTATAATCAGGTTTCACTAAAAGTTCATAACAATGCTAAGTATCAGTTGGTCTACCATATGTTATGGAAGTATACTTAACAAAAATACACTTGTAGTAATATATATACATGTATACAGCATATCATTAATTTTCTCTTGTTATGCATTATGTTTAATTTACATTATTTGTCATGTTGTATAAATGTCATGTATGTTGTACACTTGGATTACGCAATATCATATTTATTATTTATATATATAGTGCTTTATCTAATAAAATATTTGATTTGATTTGAAATAATCCATTGAACATATGTAAAACTGACTTGAAATTTCGTAAAATATAGTGCTGTGTTGCAAAAAAGCAGAACGATTTCTTCCAAGCAGAGCAAAGTGCTTGACGTTAGCTAATTGAAAAGCGCGAAACTTCATTAGGACGTGACGCGAACACCATTATGGCGTGATGTGATGTGTCATATAAATAACGTTATTTTTTTGAAAAAATAAACATCTTGGCTTTACATCTGAGTAAATCTTCAATTAAGCAAGATAACATGCTGCTATATAAGATGATTGAATAACAATATACTGTTTATGTTATTTTGTACTGAAATTGACCCGGCCGTTTCTGGACAGTGTTATGGAATTTGTCTCCGCACTAAGAGGGTTAATTGGTATTAAGAACCTACTTCAATTGGTCTATACAAAACACATGCCAACAATAACAACTTGTTAGCTTTAAATGTGTTTTATGAATTTATTTCAATCGTTCATCATCAGTTTCTTCGTCTGTTGAAACCTTTCAGATTTTTCCTCAACACCGTGTTGTTTTTATAAAGAGACGTAACACCACTACTAACCGTGTATTGAAATAGAAGCCTCGCCTACTAACACCATATGAAATATACACGGTCTCCACGTGGTTGCTTTTAACAAATCATATTCCTAGAAATGTATAGGAGGTAAGATAAATACTGTTATGCTACATATGATTACAACACGAATAACTATATTAGATTCTCCATTATGCCTAAAAGTTTCTTTTACGTAACGTTGAAAATATTAATGAAAATCAAGAATAGGCCTACATTGATTCCAGTTAGGCCAAAAAAAATAATACATGTGTTTCCGCTAACCCTACCTACCCTAATGTTTAGTGCCTACCATAACACTTTTTATGCCATTTTGGAACAAGCACTGTTAAAGTCAAACTGATTCCGTAGTAGTAACCAACTAAAAAATGTTTGTAAAATTAAATGATATTGCCCACCTACCTACCCTATTTTTTTCAGCACGTTAGCGGAAACACATGTATAATTTTTTTGGCCTTAGCATTGTCCTGTAATTATTTATACAGTCTGCGTTTGCCAATACAATTGTTGGTTCGTATATTGATAAATTTGAATTTTTTGTTTATTTTGAATTAGAATTGAGATAACTGAGTAGTATTTTAAGTTTTGCTTACTTACTTTTTTGTAACTTAGCTTTACCATTTTTACAGCCGATGACCGTGAGGGAATTCCGGTGTTATGTTGCCGCAGACATTTCTACCCACGTGACTTGCGTTTTTGACTGATAACCGAACGTATGTCGTATAATTACGCGGATATCATCGAGTGCAAAATAACATTCCTTATCGCTTGTTATAATATCAACTTCATCAATAATAAATATTGATAAAAATAATTTTCAAGAACATAGATAAATGATATGAAAATGTTTTGTCGTGAGAAATATATATATCAATAACAAATCAAGAATACCGAAAATTTGTGTTAACGCATGCGGAAGAATATCTCAAGAACGTTTTGTAACAAACGCGGGAAAATATGAATGCCTACTCAAATCCAATCTATGAGAAGAACGAATTATTACAGAAGAGTGTCCACCATGCACTTGCACTTGCACTGCACTATCATTAGAATAGTAGAATAGAATGATATACAAATGGATGAAAATTATATATGACTGTTATACAAATATTAATATAATATATAACAATAAACCAGACTGAGAGTATACTGATAACAAATGATTACATCACTACAATAGAATAGTTATAACGGTGAGGTTGAATTCCTTGTCACTTATTCATCATCCACACAGGAACTTGTCTCAGAAAAAAATATATCATGCTATGTTCATTCTATGTTCCTTAACCTAACTTTCAGGTATAGAGATGTGATTTTTTTGTGAGACAAGTGCTTGTGACCATCCACCAGAACTTGCGGTCATCCGATGTTCAGTACTTCAGTACTTTGATTTCTCTTTTTCGTTTTGTCTTTGGTTGATTGTATAATGAGCAATAAATCGTATGTAATTGCATCGTTTAGAGATGGAACATTAAAAAAATCAAGAGAATCATTAATAGCAATTGGTGCAAGTTTAAAAGAACCGATCAGTCCAACCTTTCTCTTAAGCTATGTAACGGAATGTTTTTCCTATTCACTGGTTTTACAGCGTTGATGTTATCATAAAGGTACTTATAAATTTGACAATTCACATATATATATCCTTGATCTACTAGTCTTAACATCTACTTATGACATAGATACAAAGTCATCTAGTACTACACTGTATAGTCATGATAGTACAGTAATCTTAACAGTACTATGAATCAGTTGTTATTGGTATGATTCTGACTTGAATAATATTTCAAACGATACCTGAACAAACTAGGAGTTCTAAATTTTGAAGTATTTTTAAAAGTCGTTCCAAAAAGCAAACTGACATATGTCCAGATGTTTACTTCATTGGTTCAAAAATAGGTCAAATGATAAACAAAACATTAATGATGAGCAGTAGATCTTTATTCGATTTTCTGTCCAGAAATTATACTTTTCTATCAAAAATTGGAGGGACAAGCGCCCTCTTTACCATTACCTGAATTTCCCACTAGTCTGGTTAAATTGTGTCTAGGCCTCATACTTCAGTAGTTAAAATATCATGACGCATTTGTTACACCTCAATATTAATTAAAAAGACAACATCGAGTTCATATACAATATTTATATATTGCAAACATGTAACCAACTTTTCAAATCGAGCAACAACCTTAAAACTGACCAGAATATACATTAAATCTGTCTTTATCTTTGAATGTTAAATATATTAAAATAATCAGAAACTTTGAGTGTTCTACAGTGGCAACTTTATGGCCATAGATAAATAGCACTAATTAATTGCGACAGTTCTATAGAGTTCATTCAGATGCTAAGAAAATATAGATATTTAACTGTTAACAGGTGTCACAGTTAAAATTCTTGTAATGTCTATTACACAAATAATATTAAAATTAGCCTTTTAACAGCATTACGTAATAAGATCATGTTCTTGATTAAGTTGATTTTCTATTCATACTGAATACAAATCTTCTTTTCGATGGGTCAATAGCTTTGAATTCAGACCAGAATAAAGTTTGTTTTGTAAAAATACAACCATTCATACTAAAATTCTAAATATTAACAATCTAAACTATATAAAATAATACATAAAACAGGTAACAGGAAATAACAAACATATATATATAGATTTTGTTCATTGAAATCTAAAACGTGAGAGGCCAAAATAACATCACCGTCAAAAAAGGAAAATTAGCAATGGAGAACGAGAAATCGTCTCTTTGTCATTCATTTTTGTTTCTTTTTTCCATGTGAAATATATAGA